GTAGAGCTACAAAACAAATAATACATTCTGGGTCGTCTGGGTCAGAAAAATAAAAACCTCTTTCACTACACTGAAAAAAACGTTTTGGATGAATTGACTTAATTTTATTTTGTCAAGTGCACTAAAAAAAACCAAATCTGGTCATATCTGAGCTTTTCCAAGGCACAGCAATGATGTGCTATGTCGATGTGAAGTCATTGTTGGACACCCCCCGCCCCCCATCTTCTGCCTTATCAATGCCAACAATGAGGCGCTCTAAAACAGCCACTCCAGCCTGAAGCCCGGCTCCACGGGGATATATGAAATGAGAACAATTTCGATTGTCAGTCCCAACTGTTTTCCAAACACATCGGGGAGGGGAAAAAAATGGAATGCACCGCACACCAAACGCTAAGTCAGGCTAGACAGCCGGGCCTTTGTTGACTTTGATCGAGTTCAATGTTCAGCACAATTGAGCAGTTTGAATTTACAAGTGTTGTTTGTCTCAGTAAAATGTATGAGGCCATTCTCCCTTTTCCCTAGAAGTTCCTTTGCTGAGTGAAAGAGTAACTTTTGAAGAGGTATTGGTGACAAAATTGCTGGCTATCGCTCAGTAGCGCCGTACTTTGCTGGGCGTACGCGTGCTGCCGTATGAGGTTAAGTTGGAGTCATTTGTTGTGATTTGCAGAAATCCCTTTTTGGATTGAGCTTGTGCATACCTCGGCCTGTGTAAGCACCAAGAGTGGTCCCTTTAGGCTCGAAGCTATTTAGGTCTAAGCTCATAACGCTACTGCATCAACCTTCCTTACAACTTGGTTCTGGCAACTCTGAATGGGAATAAGCTGGGAAATTGTCTCTCAGGGCAACACGAGACGATCCTTGCCGTTCCTTTTTCTCAGTATCGTCATTGTCTCGGGTGTGGGGGGTGTGGGGGGGCACTTACGTCATCCCCCCCCCAACATGCGAAATAATGATCACACTCGTTTTTCTGTTGACTGCGGGATCCGGAGCGTTACACAATCTGACTGTTCAACTATCATGTTGTTGTGAGTTTTTTGTTTGTAAATCCCACCAGAGGCCTTCTTGCAGTCTTCTGACATTCGATTTCATATTTCACAATCACATTGCTCCGCTTTTTACAGATCTTGCAGAATAGGAATAGGTCACGCTTGCGCGGTTGGATGGTAGCCCAGTAGCAGTGTGAGGTGGTCTCAATAGGTGCGGCACCAAATCCCAGTTCAGATCTTTACAGGAGGTGAGAACACGAATCTGCTAAGGGATTTTCTGGAGGGGTGGGGGGGGGGGGCGGGGACCAGGTGCTGTTTAATTTGAAAGGGACGCTGAGGGGGTGGCGGCGAGGCCGCCCTCTCCGGTCTACACCCGCTGCCATGCCAAGCGGGTGTCAAATGGATGCTTGTGGGCTTGGCCCGTTCAACTGGATCTGTCGGCAGTTGTTAATGATAACACGTCGATAACCGGCCTCGCCACTTGATGCTGCCCACATGAGACTCTTGTGGAGCCTGCCAAATGGTGTGCGCGAGCACGTGTGTGTGCATGTGTAGAACTCATTTGGTGCTAAAACTCCTCCACATACTGGCCTTAATCTGCAGGATGGCGCTCACTTGAGTCTCACTTCTAATTGTGTGATCATCACAGATTACTCTTACTAAGTATGATCTTAGATGGCATTTTAACAGGCCGCCTGGGTGAAATATATCTGGAGGGCCTGTGTGGTGCTATTTGAACATGGCCCTTTTAATTAGTTAGATGATAGGCTACCTCAATCTTTGACTGAGAGGCATGCTTTCATTGTTGTTTTAAAGATGTAATGATAATAATAATTATTATTTTCATGATACCGTGTTATTGCATTTATAGTTTTACTCATTATGAAGACAATGACGACTATTACTACCACTATAATTATAATAATTATTATTATTACATATAATTTTTGTTATTATTATAATTATATTATTATGAAAACAAGAATTAGCTGTAATAAATGGATTTTAAGAATATTAGTGCGTAAATCGATATTATAAAATAATTACTTTTTTAAAATTGTTGATTTCCGTTTGCTTTTTTTTTTTTTTTTTTTTTTATCAGCTCAAGATTTTAAAACAATGCCAATAAAATTCCATAATCGTCCCGAGAACAATGAAGGGGAGCAGATAAATTGAGATTATTTGGCATTTCGTGAGATTTGTACGTAATATCCAAAATTGCTTTCAGGAATTCGGACGAAATAAAAAGGTTGAAAGAGGCGGGTGGTCACAGTTTTGAATCTGTTTTTATGTTTTTGAAATTAAACTTAATGATAATATGAACGCGATTTTTGTAGTCACACCAAAATAAAATATGTCTGAATGGTTGTGAGTTTTTTTTTCTTCGAAATCCTCCTCCGGGGGGGAAAAAAAGGCCTGAGGCCCTGTTGGCCTTTCCAATCTCTGCTTGTATTTGATCGGAATAATAATGTGACAGCGATTTTAGTATGAAATGTGTGTACACGCGCGTATGTCCGAATGTGTGTGCGCGGGAGCGCGCTTGTGCGCGCGTGCTCTCTGGCTGACTTGTAAAATATGACAGGCCATTTTCAAACTCAAAGATTAACATTGTGATTCCCAGTGTCCCAGTAGACAGCGTGATTGATTACATCATATTCCATTAAGGTCATTTCGACATCGGGGTAATTTTCGACTGGAGCCTCCGGGCCATATTTTAATGTGCATTTGTTTGGCGCTGCTGTCGCTCGCTCGCCTGCTCGCTCGTCTCATCGATAGGGAAATAGATGGCGACATTAACGAGCGATTAATTAAAAACAACAACATTAATGACGATGGCACTGGCTGCTTTGCCTTTTGAAAAATGATGCGTCCGACTATATTTTACACTCGGACTTCACATTTAAGACCCCGGACTGCCAACTGTGTATGATTTTGTTATAATAGGCTTGTTTTGTTTGTTTGTTGTTCTTTTTCATCACAATTTGTGCACGCTTCGAGATGCTTGTAAATGTAACGTTGTGATCGCTTTACCTTGCAATGAACGATTTTCAAAACGTAATTTGGATTTTTTTTTTATTCAAACAAACGAACATATATTATTTTAATACTCCTAGTGTATCACATTTAATAAACGCCCTTTTCCAAGATGGTGATTAAATGAATACACATGTAAATAAATAAAATTAAGTTAAAAACACAGTATAAATTCACCAAAACCGTTGGTCTGCAGAGTGTGGATATATATATATATATATATATAAATCGACATGGAATTTGGTGCAACAAATAAAATAAGACAATACCAGTGATCAGACTTTTAAGTCGTTTATTTCAAGTGTTTACCTGACATTCAGTTTGAAGGGTGTGCAATTACAGTTAGGCGAAGAAAAGGAAAGCCCTCGGATTGTTGTGGTCCGTGAAGTACAAGGTCCTGAACGGGAAATGTCTGCGCGCGTGCGCGCAAAAGTTCTTGTGAGCGTGAACGTGCTTGAGCGCGCGCGTAAGTGTACATGGGTTCATGCATGCTTTCTGTTCCTTCGAGTCTCAATATTTACATGCTGCAGCACAAATGGGCTTTGGGCGCGCGCACACACACACACGCTTGCGCTTGGCTGCAGTGACGTGCGCGCATTCTGACGCCCGCGAGCGCGCCTCATGTGCGGGCCTTTGCAGCGGGTCGTCTCACATGTCCAATGTGCGCCGATGTTATCTTCACTCAGTCTCTAATCCAGAAAGCCGGGGCCTTTTCCACCGCGGATCAAGCTTCGGTTTCGCTCTGTGTGTGCGTGCGTGTGTCGACGTCACCGCAGTCTTGACCGCATCAATTCGCAGCGAAAAAAAAAAAGAAAATGCTCCCATCGGTTCCTCCTCTTCCTTCCCCAACACGCACACGCACACGCTCAACGTGGTATAGTGCAAAATAGTGCCGCGCACTATTTTGTTGCGCGCGTTACTTTTCGCGATGTCCGGTTTAATTGGGTCCCCAGCACGGAGGTGCGAGGGCTCCTCGAAATCGGATTGGTTTTTCTATTAGGGGTCCCCAAATTTTTTTTCAATCTTTGCGAACACGTGTATAATAGCGAAATATGTTTAAAAAAATTACTAACAAGCAAGCAACAAAAAAAAAAAACGATTAGTGAACCTGGAGTGTTAGAAAAAAAATGAATCAGTCGAAAGCCAACAAAAGCCATGTAAAGACTCCCAGAAAAAAAAAAAAAAAGTATTTGCAGGATTGTCGAGGCCCACAGGCGGAGAGTTTTTTTCCCCTCAAAATTCATGGCTGTGAAACGCAGGTTGTCGGCCGTTTTATTTTGGAGCTGCTATTTGTGGTGTGTGTGTGTGTGTGTGTGTGTGTGTGTGTGTGTGTGTGTGTTGGGGGGGACTGAGTGGCGGTCGGGGGGGCAATTTAGGACAATCTCCAAGGTGTAACCAATCGAATCATAATCATCATAATAATAATTAGGACCATGATTAGAATTATCGTAATTCTCATCTTGTCCTAATGATGTTGATGATGACGATTCTTATGAAAGACGTCACTAAAATGATGCTTGTTGCCGTAATATGTATAATATGTATTTTTTATTGTTATTCTTCCAAAAAAAAAAAACTTTTTTTTCGGGGGCTTTGATTGTTTTCCTAAGGAACCCTCATTTATCTTGGCAACAATTTCCCCTGCACGTGTCCTTGGGTTTGCTTTTGGCTCCGATCGAAGCCTCACCTTTGGCGCAATACCTGACAGGAGGGCTTGGCCTCTTTGGTTTTCGTTTGTCGTGTGTGCACAATGGCACCGACGTCGGGTAGCGCAGGCACAATTTGTTCATCTATGAACTACAAAATAATAATACATCCAAATCAAGAAAGAAATCCAAGAAAAAGGAGTGTTGCGTTTGTTCAATCTGTCCGGCAAACATGCAGTGTCGATATAGAGCCCGATGCGAAAACGAATCAAATTTAACATCATATCGAGAGTGTGCACATGTTTTTTTTTTTTTTTTTTGACGAAAAATGTAAATGTATCCCCTCTTCAGGCTAAGAGCAACAAGGACTGACCACGAAGCCTCTCTTCCCGGGACGCCCCCAGCTCACTCTGGCCTGCCTGCCTGCCTTCCTTCTTTCCAGCAGCCAAAAAATGAAAAGGAGGAAACACAACTCGGTCCAGGCGAAGGTCGAAATGGAGTGCGAGCGTTTTCTTGCCAAGGTAATTAACCGTTAATTGGGCGTCATTTGTCCGAAGCAATGCAATAGAAAGGTGTTGGTGGCTTCATGGACCTGGCCTGCAAATATGAGTGTAATACACACACACACACACACACACAGAAAAACGCAAACACACCGGCCGCTAAGTTGGTTTCTTCTTTCATTCACTGTTTGTCTAACCTAATCGATCTCGACCCAGTCAATCGATCAGGACAACGGCTCATTGGCAATCCCACGCAGTTTTCTCGCCCTCTGAAGGGCTCCAACAAAACCTTTGCGCAGCACATTAATTTTCGCATTAGTTGGTCGACCTGCCTTTCTTTCGTTTTGAATTGGTTTTTGACTGGCAGAATTTATTGGAAACGCCTGTGTTACCAAATAAATACTGGGAGGTTGAACACCCCCATTAATAAAGTTCTCATATAATATCAAAACTGATCATTATTGTATTTAAAAAAATAATTACGTGGGTGTGCAAGTCGTGTGTAAGTGTCAAACGTAATATTGTGATCATGATCATACCTCACGTCATTGTTTCGAACTGATCAACATACCCCCCCCCCCCACACCCACCAATATTCCAAACCAGGCTCCCGAGAGTATCCGGCAAATAATCGCTATTGATTAAGATTATTGATTAACGATTACCGTCCGCATTTCACGTCCACTCGTGCCGAGGAAACATCCCAGGGCAATTTCTGCGCAATGTGTTGAAGCCCCCTTTGAGTATTTCAAATCCAAGAGTCGTGTCAATTGGTGAAAATAATAATATTATTATTATTATTATTATTATTATTATTATTATTGTTGTTGTTGTTGTTGCTGCGAAACGCCCTTTTTAATATTATGACTACAGCCACCAACATTACGAATAACGATTCTTCTCACAATAAGAGCAATACCTGCATATGCATTCGGTGTGTTGCGGTTACCGAGCAGCGAATGGATGTATGCGCGCCATCCGGCAAACTGCAGTCGCTCCATCATCGCAGATCTTTAATAGGCTCCAACACAGAGCCGCCTTTATTTAGCCAAAAGCAGACGGAAACCATTCCCATATGACATGTAGGCTACAGGCCCAGGCACCATGTGGAGCCCGGCCCACCGCTCGGGTTCAAATGCACGCTGACAGAGTTTTCTCACATTCTGCTGTATGGAACAATCGAGCAATGATAACAATAATAATAATAATAATAATAATAATAATAATAATAATAAAAATAGAATTGTACGTTTAAATATAATCAGAATGACAGTTGCATCATGCATGCAGGCAGAAAAAAAAGACATTCTACGTTTTGACATATCTGAAGTTAAATATTACCTGGAACTTGGGGACCGCAGTCGAAGCCAAATTGAGGGTACTTAATTCCTGCCTGCGGGACACAAACAACAAACAAACACACAGACAGGTGCAGAGTCATGCTTACGGCAGCCTGCAGTCCACTTCCCTTGCACGCACTTCTTTTTTTTTAACTATGTTAAATTTTATGTATTAGTTACGACAAACCAAATTCTGTGACGCTAACAGAATGTTTGGTTTGGAGGACGAGGAGGAGGAGGAAGAAGAGGAGGGGGCATGCATGCGTCAAACAGCTGCTGGCTGCTGCATTGCTACACACGCACAAGAAATTAGCGGCGGTCCACCCCCGCCCCCCCATCCGCCACCCCCCATACACACACACACGCGCACATTTTTTTTTTTTTTGCCAGAATTGCTTTGCAACCAGTCTGCAAAATAATGAAGACAATTTCATGTTAATAAAAAAAACATGAATTACACCTAATAATAATAATAATAATAATAATAATAATAAAGCTCGACTTCTTACCTGGTGGCGTGCACGGGCCGGCTGCAGAGAAGCACGTCGCCAACTAAATGCACGCCGGTGCTGGCAGCAGCAGAGCTGGGTGGGCTGGAAGCTGGGGCTGGGGTGAGGGTGGGGGTGGGTCAGTCTGGAACAGAAAAAGGGTGACCGCAAGAGTACGGAAATGTAAAAATGGATTGTTTTCCAGAAACCCACACAAAATGAAGCCACCTCTTGACAGATGAGACTGACAGACGTTTCTTTGCGCTGAAAGAAACAAAAACAAAAACATCGTTTGTCCACTTTGGTTTAAATACCCCGCATTCTATTTTTCTCTTACCGAACCTTTTCGCCATGATCCCGTTCTCTGAGAGAGGGGCCGGTTT